CACTGGCAAACAAGACTAAAATACTGAAGAAGAGCAGCACTTTTTGCAGTGTGACCAGAAGATACAGTAGAAGTTGTTTTAATGTTCTAGCTGAGCTATTTTTTAATTAATTAAAAAGTAAAGGAGATCTGTTGGAAGTTGTATTTTCAAACTTTGAAGTGCCACTAATACAACTCATTAAGAAAACATAATGACAGATTGTGTTCCCTTAATTTATTCCTTTTAGGTTCTTACTTAAAAAGGTCTTTAAAAACGCTTAAATTGAACAAAACCTGCCGGAACCCTGTTTAAAACACTGCTAATAATTTTACATTGCATATTACTGTAATTTCTTACACGTCTCTCTTCTCACAGTAGCTTAATTTCCATCAAGATTCAGAATGCTTTATTTAACACGACACAATTTCATAATCAATTGATGATTAATAATAATATAGGATTATTATAATTACCAGAACCAAATGCACATGTTGCATTAATGAAGGTCATGCTGCCTAGTTCAGATTCCGGTATTATCCATAAATTAGAGAGCACTGATTTCTAATCAAGTTCATATTTGTTTTGGAGATATTATGCATACACAGGAATGTTTGGAGAATGATACTGTAACTTGCATTCATTTATTATTTCTTTTTTCAGTGCAATTACTAAATGAAACACAAGATGGTGCCAGTTGCATTTGTATGAAACAGGATTGTGTTTTTTCAGTGAATATATGATTACTAAATGCTGCGATTGACCAATCAGAACCACATATCATAGAGAGCTGTGTAATAAACACCACTGAATTAAATAACTGTGCTTAAATGAAAGATACTCCCCTACTCACAACACACTTCAGTAGTTTAAATCAGAAACTGTTCTCACAATGCAAACCTGTCTCCGCAGTGAACCCCAGCACCTGCAGCAGCACGGGCTCTGAGCGTCTCGCCCGCTTCTTCAATAAGAAGGTCACTACTCTTCAGGCCGGCTCACCCTGCAACGACTTCAAGGGCTACTGCGACGTCTTCATGAAGTGCCGTCTGGTGGATGCTGACGGTCCTCTGGCGCGCCTGAAGAAGGCCATCTTCAACCCGGAGTTGTACGAGAACATCGCAGAGTGGATCGTGGTGCGTGTCCCTTCATCTCCGATCGTGTGTGTGTGTTTATTCTGTGTTTGTGTCTGAGTGTTTATTTTGTGTTTGTGTCCGAGAGTGTTTATTCAGTGTTTGTGTCTGAGAGTGTTTATTCTGTGTTTGTTTCTGAGAGTGTTTATTCTGTGTTTATCTCTCAGAGCGTGTGTTTATTCTGTGTCTCAGGGTCACTGGTGGGCAGTTCTGCTGATGGGAATCGCTCTCATCATGCTGATGGCCGGATTCATTAAGATCTGCAGTGTTCACACGCCCAGCAGCAACCCCAAACTGCCTCCTCCTAAACCTCTGCCAGGTAACATATCTCCTCACAGTCCAGTACTGAGACGTTTCAAACAGAGTCAGTGGGGGTTTTTGCAGTATGGATACACCAGATCCAGAGTGAAGCGCTGTATTCAAGTGTTTATATCCAGTGTTTTCACATCTCACTTCAGAGTAAATGCAGCAAACTCAATCTCTGCATGTGCTGCGAGGTTAACATGCATTTTGGCAATGCAATGTTACACTTTTTTCACAATCTCCAACCTGTTTGTGGACAGATGATTACAGCAGTTCACGCTTTCATGCATGTAGATTTGTAACGAGATGCGTTTGTAAAACTCCTGTCAGAAACGTAAAGGTCTCCCTGCAGTTTTTCACCAAAATAAAACCTTGAACTCATACAATTGAAGAAATTAACTATAAGTATTGTAAAATTACAATAATAACAAGTATGAAAAAAATAAGCTTATAAAATGTTCATTTTTTAATTTTAGTGTAGTTGTACAATACTAATTACAATACTCATCTTAGAAATAATAATAATAATAAATCTATTTAATATAATATAAAGTTTATTATTGGGATATTATTATTATTATTATCCCAATCAGAGCTTCATTTTATATGAAAATCAAAATACTTTGATTGTAGTCAAAAGTAAATAAACTTATTTTTGTTTGTGTTTTTCAACAAAAACTATATTTTTTTCAATTAATATTTTATTTAGCACTGTGGTTGTATTATAATAGTAGTATGTTTATTTCTTAGAAATAATAATAGTAATACAAATAATAATATTTAAAGGCATATATAAAAAATTTTATGCCCCTTTTTTCAGAATATTTTACAGTATTACAATACTAATGTATTTCTACCTTAGAAATAATAATAATAATAGTGATACATATAATTGTTTATATCCCAATAATAAACATTATCCCTGTAAATATTATTATTATAATCCCAATCAGTTGAAAATGTTCATTTACTTCTGACCATAGTCAAAGTATATTATCAGCTGAAGAGTTTCCGTTGGTTTGGTTTGACTATGGTCAGGAGTTAAAGAACATGATTTTGTTGGATGTTTTGGTCTGTGGTCTCAGAAATGAGTATTTGAGGTGAAGGCTGTGTGTTTGTGTGATGCTGAAGAGTCGTTCTCTCTCTGTCTGTCTGGTGAAGGTACTCTGAAGAGACGACGAGCTCAGCAGCAGCAGCAGCACCAAAACCAGAACCAGAACCAGCACCAGCACGCTCACCAGAACCAGCGGCCCGCTCCACGCCAGGCCCAGCGCCAGCGCCAGCCCCGGGAGAACTACCAGATGGGCCAGATGAGACGCTGAGAGCCTCTTTACAGGAGCACCAGTCCATAACGCTTCCTCGGACATCATTTCTCTGTTTTACCCTCGAGTGCCAAGGTTTACCGGGGTATTTGTAGATAGAGCGTCTCCTGTCGTCCTTCATAAATTCCTCTCAAGACTCCTGGTTTGATATCAAACATCTTTTTAAGGATTCGTGCGGAGCTTCAGCACGGAAAAGGACTTTTATTTTGTAAGAACAGAAACGTTTCGCCTTCCCTTTTCCGCAGACGCGCGGCTGTATAGAGAAACGATATTAGCTGTATTATATGTGAGAACAGATTATTTCTTCTACTGTCGATAAGAAATTTACAGTTACAGTTTTGTTGACAACACTCAGGACTCAAAAAATCTAACGAAGGAGGCGGCTCTGCGTCAGTCCGCCGTTTACATGCTTCATTCTGTGTGCGTTCGTGTTTGTTTGTATATAGCTCCACACCTCTATGGCAAGCCCGTTCAACATTTAATCCTCAAAACCCCTTCAGCTACCTGTGCTTATTATTTAGGTACTATTTAGGTACTACTTTTTAAAGGTATTAATTTTTATTCATAAGATACTAGTACTTATTCATTAGCTGCTAGTGCTTATTCTTTAGGTACTAGGTATATTATTATTTAAGTAATAGTATCTAATAAATACTGTTATCTTTAAAAGGTTACTAGTACCTATTTCAGTGGTGACTAGTAACTATTATGTTGTTCCTAGTAGCACATTTCAGATTGTTGCCACTTCTATGGGGATCTGTCATTCAGATATTAACTTCAGTTCTGACTAGTATGCATTCATAATGTGACTAATGTTTTTAAATAGTACTAGTAAGCATTCAATAGATACTAGTACATACTTAGTTATTTGTTAGTCACTAGTTTTAGGTACGTATTTTTTAGACACGTCTTTTGTAATTCTTGCTAGTAACTGTTCTTACCTTAATAGTCACAATTTTTTTTAACTCGTTTTCTGTTTTAACTAGTCAGAATGGCCACTGTAGAGCTCAATTAAAAATCTTACTAGTAAAATGAAAAATCTTGCCAGTAACATTTGGAATACGTACTAGTATCTAAGTGTGTACTAGTATCTAATGAATAGGTACTGTTATCTTTTTTTTTTTAAGAGGTACTCATAGCTAAAGAATAAGTACTAGCGGTGTGCGAGTAGATGCTAGTATGTTGTAAGGATTAAATGTTGAAATGGCCTGCCATACACTCACATTCACCACACTCCACTGATGAGGAACGTGTGCATGAAGAGCAGCGCAGACTTGAGATTAATGTGTTTAACTGTACCTTTCTGCAGGTTTCTTCTTGATCGTACTATCACTTCAGAAGACCGCAGTCACTGAGCATTATGGGAAAGCGGAGGATTCTCGCAGTCACATTAACACGTTTAGTTTACAGACTCTGACAGAAACACACCTTCATCATCATCATCATCGTGGAGACGGACTGGTCTCTCATATGAACTCTGTACAGTAACTGGAGGATTTCTGTTGGTTTTGATACTGTTCTTTTGTTTTAGCGTTTGTGAGTCCAGGCCGACCGCACCGTACTGCCATCTGCGAGGAAGAAACCCGGCTCGGTGGTTTCGCGGCGGTCTGGATCGGAGAATATTTGCCTGTATTTGACTTTTTTTCATTTTTACATAGTCTTGGTGAAATTTCATAGAGGAAAAGTGCACTGAAAAAACGTCTTAATCGAGTCCAGATGTCGTAGGTGAAAATAGGCCGAACACTAAAATTGAGAAACGAATGAAAAACCAGAACAAAAAAACAAAAAGATTAATACTGCTGTCTGTTAATGTTCACTGTGTTTTATACAGTACCTAAATTTTTGTTCACTTTGAACATTTTTACGTAACATTTCAGAACGTATTGTGCAAAGAGATGTAATTTTTTTGGAGTACTTGAACTGCATTAATAAACAGACTGGGTTGAAGCGCTGCTGTTAGAGTTCTGATGTTTGATCCGGCAGCGTGTGAACTCCTGCTGCTCCGAGATCCTGAGACGAGAGCCTCCAGCGGACACGCCACAGAACCACGTCCTGAACAGAGAGATGAGGAAACATACCCTTCTTACAAATCAGTGTGACCCTGGACCACAAAACCAGTCATAACGGTCAATTTTGTGAAATTGAGATTTATGCATCATCTGAAAGCTGCTCTTTTATCATTGTAATGAAGCAGCAAACTGAACTGGACTGCTGTGATCTGTATTTTCATGCACAGAAACCAGCAGAACTTCTGCGTTATTGATAGTAACACTGTTTATTTCATGAGAAAATAATAATCATATATAGTAAAACTTGGCATAAGCGTTCACAGCAATGTCTTCAGAGAATGCATTAACTTTAGGCTTTGCTGCATTTGTTAGATCTCTGCACAGCATCTGATCACCTCGTCATAAACAGCTTCTCATCGGTTTGAGCGAATGCTTTGCTTCATTCATGTTGACTGCTTCCAGAGGCCAATCGATGTTTAAAAGACACCAGGTTCACATAAAAAAACAGGTCAAATATGCAAATTAAACTGACGTCAAAAACTTGACATGACGTGATTTGATGTAAACTGAACGTCAAACATGTCGGCCTACAGTTGTCTCAGTGTGGGATGAACTTCCTATTTCCAGCCAATGACCGCTGGGCTGTTCCTGATACATGATCAATAGCTGATGCCACGATCAATCAGAGCCTGTGTGATCTAGTGTTCAACAGTCTAGCCTTCCATCATCTGAGCATCAGTTCCTCAAATCAGCAGAAAGCCTTACATTCATGCTTAATGTTGCACAAATTACAAAACAAATGTGTTTGTTTTCCAGTTCAAATATCTAAACATCCTTAAAAATTATGATATGAAGTCTTGAAAAAATGAACAATGTTGTGAACAAATATCAGTCAGTGGGGAATGAAAACTTGCTTCTCTTTGGCTGAAGCGGATTTTTCTGAGCCAAGTGACAGATATTTGTTCTCGTTTTAATCATAAACTCACTTCGTTTTGATCAGTTTCCCATACATTAAGAATTCTTAGTTTTAATTTAGATTAAAAAGCCATTTAATTTTAGTCATCTGAATAGTGTTTTAGTCTAGTGTTAGGAAAGATTATAAGAGATTAGTCGACTAAATCTACAGTACATTTAGAAATCTAAATTTAGCTAAACTGTAATGCATTATTTCTCTAAAATTTCTTCTTTATTCTGTACTTTTATTAAATGCCGAAAATTTTCAATAGATTTTCATCAGCTTCAGAAAAGTTTTGAATGACAAAGACTATCGTCTCAATTTTGTCAGTGAAAAAAAGTGAAGAAATTGCTAATGAAATGCACACTGCTTCTTGACAACATGCTGAAGTGTCTTGAAGAAGAACTGTCTCCAAGACGCTTCAAGAAACCTTCCTGCAAAGCTACAGAGCTGTTAACGGTTTAAGATCTCTGTGTGGAGCACTAAAATCTCACTGATTATTACAATTAATGGCTAAATGAATGTTTGTAAATGTAAGCTGATATTTCCTACTGACACACTACAGCAAAAGATAGAAATAACTGACTTAAAACCATTTTTAGCTGCTGAAAATACTAGTGTTCTAATCATTTAGGCCACCACTGTATACAGTATATATATATATATACATTTTTTTCTTCAAATATGACGTGAATGTATTTTTTGACTGAAATATATGGAGGGCAAAATATATTTCAAATGCTTTTAAATTATATATGATATTTCAAATATATGCAATTGTTAAAGATGATTTGAGGAATGTCCAAAAGCAACTGAGAAAATGAGGACTTCAGTGTTTGACAGACAGTATTCAGTAGAAACAGAAACTCACTTCTCCTGACTCTCTCCTGATTTGATGCAGATCCTCCAGACACTGATCTCCTGATCCTGATCGGAGCTGTTCCAGCTCAAGATGTTCCTGACGCGCCTCATCCAGCTGGACCAGACCAGATCTCCCTTCCAGACCAGCCTGACGGAGCGGAGTCGGCCCAGATCCGACGCCACCGCCAGCAGAGACGAGAAGGACTTCAGAGCGCCGCTCTCCTGATGCCTGCAGACGCCACAATAACTCAGTCATATCTCCACTCCCTGGACTGCAGCAGCTCAGCTTTACTTGATTCTCCATCAATCATGTTTTAGAGTCTCAAATCTGATCCTCAGGATCTTTTGAGGAGCGTTTGTTTCCAGAAGCTTTACTTTCACTGTTCCTCAGCGGAGGAATGATCTTCACAAGCCTCCAGAACATCTCACATCTTCTGAGGAGCCTTTATTTCTTCAGCTCTCAATCACTGCATTATATGTTTGGAGCATTTACATCTCATCTTACTGAGACAGATTACTGGAGATATAGAGCCACCACTGATGTTTCGATTATAACAGTACAGCAGATACTGACATAAAATAAAGATCTCATTGATTTACATCACAAGCATCAGAATTTCAGCATATAAATATCAGCATTTGCAGAAAATTCATATTTTTGCTCAGTTTGAGTCTCCGAATAAAACTGAACTGTTTTTCCTTCATATTCTTCTTCTATATGAGCCATAAAAGCCTGATGATCAAATATGATACTCAACAAAACACATGCAAGATTTTCTTTTATATTTTATCTAAAGGTTCTATAAATTGTTAATTTAAATATCCACTGCGGTTTATTAAATATTCCCATATAGCAAATATATTGAGGCTAAAACAGGGCTTAAGCCTAACAATATGTATGAAATAGGAAATATATTTAATTTCAAAATGTATTTCAGGGGCATTTTCAATCTTACAGTATTCTACATGTAGGCTAAATGCTAATATGGATTGAAAACCTACCAGAGAACAAAACTATATGTATCAATTTTTTGTAATACTGTAATACACTTTCATTTTTTAACATCGGCGCCGATAGCTTTGTGGGCAGCGCCGACACATGGTGCAGTTGCGCTTCGGGTGTCCTGAGATCGAATCCCGCCTTGTGGACCTTTCCCGTTCCCACCCCCCATCTCTCTCTCCCACTCACTTCCTGTCATATCTCTACTGTCCTGTCAAGGAAAAATACAAAATATATATATATATATATTGTTACTTTTGTTGGCAAAGTTTAGTATACATAAATGTAAGTATGGTGATTATAAACCTTTAACTTTGTGATTATAAACCTTTAATTTTGAAGTCAGAAGTTGAATAATACCTAAAATTTATTTATAATCTGATAAACAAGAAAGCTGTTAAGTGTATTAATCTTTCATTTCAATGTAATTTTATGTCCTCCTTGTCTTCACCCCCTGGCTAATGTAAAATGTTGAATGTGAATGTTTAAAAAAAAAAAAATCTTGCTGCGGAGCAGATACACCTGGAAAAAACAAGCTCCTAAGGGGCGTTCACATGTTGTGCCTAAAACGTGTGAAAACGCTACCCCCGCCGATTTCTGCTTCTTTCCAAAGCATTCGTGGCGTCTGCGACTGTGACCTGCACTCTCCATGATGACGCGGAAGTTTCAGCATAGGATAAATGGATTTCCAGCACTAAAAAAATCACTTGTGCTGTGTCCCAATTAGCATACTATCCGTCCTAAATAGTATTCGAAATTAGAATTAGTATGTCCCAAACTGTAGTATGTTGAAATGAGTATTCCAAAGGTAGCCGGATGGTTTACTGCTTCTGGTAGAAATTCAAAGTGCAGATCCGTGCACACTCTAAAGGCTGATTTATACTTCTGCGTCTGACCTACGCCGTTGCCTCCACACCATAGGCTACGCGTCAGTTTTCATTTATACTTATGCGTCGACGTGCAATTACACATGCAGACCGCTAGTCTGCAGTGTCCATGGGCATGTTGCTGGTGTAACCAAAAGTATCAAGGCAAAAGCCGAAGAAGAAGCAGCTTGTC